CATGCATGTATATATGTGTGTGTGTGGATTCTCTTTGTGTGTAGATACATGTTTCGTTTTGTTGTGCTTGTCTTGCATCTACCTGACTTATCTCGTACTAGATTGCGAGTGTTGTACGCCACTCATACGAGTATACATCCATGCATGTATGCATGTGTGTGTGTGTGTGTTCTCTTTGTGTGTAGATACATGTATCGTTTTGTTGTGCTTGTCTTGCGTCTACCTAACTTATCTCGTACTAGATTGCGAGTGTTGTACGCCGCTCACACAAGTATACATCCATGTATGTATGTGTGTGTGTGTGGGTTCTCTTTGTGTGTAGACACATGTATCGTTTTGTTGTGCTTGTCTTGCGTCTACCTGACCTTATCTCTCGTGCTAGATTGCGAGTGTTGCACGCTACTGCAGGCCAATTCACATCGCTGCCCGAATTGTACCACTCACAGGCGCGACAGGGGCCGACTATCCAGTTCGGGCCCAAACGATAGTCGGCAACTCAACCATCGACGAGGTATGGGAGTAGTGATATTACATTGTGAAACGAGGTTTATTTGAATCATAAACGGGGTTTATTTGAATCATAAAGGGTCTGGAGCACGTACCTACTACAGCTATTGGCGCGGGCCTGTTCCCATACTAAAGCGTGCATGGTACAACTGTATGCAGGATCCCCTCACCAGAGAACAGTTAAAAAAGAAACTCGCCAAGATCAAAGGCGCCGGCCGCAATGTTATGCTCATGACCGCAGGCTTTGACGGTTGCACGCGTATGGGGGGTATCAAAACCGCGTTCACCTCACTTGCCTACACGCTGCGAGACGCTGGATACAACGTGACGGTTCTGTACCTCAATGCGGGCCTCGGGATGAATTGTAGGGGCTCGAACGTGGTTAGAATGCGGCAGGAGGGTATTACGCTTGTACCGGGTGTGCCGGGGGGGCGCAAGACCAATGACATTCGACCGTTGATGCTGTCGTTTCACCTGTATGAGTACCTGAAGAGTGTGCAGGATACCTACCCCATTATTATCTCGCACGACTTCGAATCGAAGCTCATGTATGTGTTGCTGGCGCAACAGCAGGGCCTGCAATTCCAGCACAACAAAATTATTGTGTGGGGACATTCTCATCGGTATGTGGGGTGGATTCGGATGTTTGTGAGATAAACTATAACGTATATATATATATATATATGTATATATGTATATGTATGTATGTATGTATGTATAGATATAGGGTATAGATCTGGCTGCTCCTATACATACCCGTCTATTTTGGGGTGCGGTGTTGTGATACTACCCATGTTCACTGTCCTTGCGCTAAGGCGTTACTATTCAACATCGCTAGATACGATACATCTCATTTCACTCGCTCAATACACGACCATATCCATTCGCCTGCACATCTATTCATAGACGATTTGTGGACAAGATGAACCAGCGCTGGCCCCACCGTGAGACCATGCTGGCGTACTTTCTGGAGCAGGAGACCTACCGATTGGCCCGCAACACAGTCTCCCCGTCAGTGTGGTACCAGAACAAGCTGTACGAGCAAGGCTATTACAACCTAGACCCAAACACTGAGGTGGATATCCTGCAGAATATCATCTACACGCAGAACCCCTACGTACAGGAGAAAGAAATCCTACACCCTGCGGGACTGGCCTTCTTTTCTCGTCTGGACAAATTGAAAGGTAAAGCGTATCAAAAATACAAACGGTTATGTTAGGGGAAGTAGATCCTGCTTGGTGTGCTGTGAACGGTGTTAGTTGTTGTATAGTTTGCACGGTTAAAAGGTAAAGCGTATCAGAAATACAAAAGGTTATGTTAGGCCAAGTAGATTCTGTTTGGTGTGCTGTGATCGGTGTTAGTTGTTGTATACATTATTTGCACGTATGAATCGGTTAAAAGGTAAAGCGTATCAGAAATTCATAATGTTATGTTAGGGGAAGTAAATCCTGCTTGGTGTGCTGTGAGCCGTTAGTTGTTGTATACTTTGCACGTATGAATCCGTGGGCGATCTATTTGTATATATACACATGCGGCTCCTTTCAATCCATCGTTTATTGTCTGAGGCGTAGCGGCAAAACTACAGTAGCCCTATATACGTATTGAGCTTTATTCCCCTTTTTAACGCATGTCTATATCAATACGTACTGACCTCTATTCCCCTATTTAGCGCATATCTATATCAAAGTTTTCACATAGACATCTATGAGGTGTGGTGGTGTCTCGGTTGTGCCACATATCACTTCAGCCACCCAGACAATCCGGAAGCCCTCAAGTTCGGTACCATCTTGGTCGTACTCCCAACACTCATGCACCCACCATCTATTTGTAGTTCAATGGCGCCATAAACCGCCATCAACGCCGTTACGATCTGTGTGCTCGGCATAAACCCTTTTGGTCCCGATAAATAAACCTTCCCAATGTTTGGTTGTCATCTTTATCCAGGTATCCGGGTATTCATGGACGCCATCGACATCATCTACAACCAGAGGAAGACAGCCTTCGAGGCCAAACGGCAAGCCATCACGGCCGCTAAACGCGAAGCCAAACAATCCGGCGCAACCGTACCAGCGGCACTCCGCGCTGCCCCCAGTGAGGAGCCGTTGGATGTTCTATTTTTAGGTGTAGATAGCGATCTGAGTAAGATGGAACGCAGCTCCACCATGATCTACAACCGGTGTCGCCGGTGGTCGCCGCACGTGTGGTGCTATCTCAACCACACCATGGACACCCAGAGCGCCATCGAGGAGATCACCAGTAGCAAGAGTCTCATTGTGCTGCCCACCCTAGCCGATACGTTCCCGTACTCGGTCTTAGAGTCTATCTACCACGGCCTGCCCTTTGTGGCGTCTCGCATTGGCGGTATACCCGAGATGTTACATCCCGTGTCTCAGGAGGAGCATCTGTTTGAGGCGGGTAATGCTGAGGCGCTGGCAGCCAAGATGAGCAATGTCTTGAACCGGGGCATCGAACCGGCGGTGCCGGCTTATCATTTCCACGACACGGCACTCCAGTGGGCGAAGTATGAGGGTTATAGAATATGTGTGTGTACGTGTGCGAGGATCATAAAATATGTATATGCGTTTGTGTATATAATATGTATATATATATATGTGTGTGTGTGTGCGTGTGCGTGTGTGTGTATATGTATATGTGTGTGTTATTCGTCTCGTCTCGTCTATCATCCACCTACCCGTTTGTCTTACAAGTGGTTGCACCTGTGCTTCTTGGTGTGACTAGTGCTGCTCGGCCACTCCCTCGTCGTTCATACAATGCTTGATAGGGCGAGATTGTGTATGGTACCATACATAGACGCATGGATTATGTATACTATTCGCGACAGCCACCAACCATATAGCACAGTGCAGCAAGCATGCTGTCTAAGATGTACCACAATCCTCTACTCAATTCTTAGCGCGTCTATAAACCCTCGTTTATTCTCCGGTCCAACCCAACCCAACCCAACCCACCCACCAGGTACATAAAGAAACAGTTCAAATCGCTAGACGATGAGAAAGGGACCAAACCGGTACGAAGCCTGGTAAATCTGTCGACGCTGAGTGCTCTGCACATGGATGGTCTACCCGTCACTGTTGGCATAACGCATATGCTCGAGCGTCGTAGTGAAACATACTTGCGGGAATGCTTACTCGCGTTCGCCAACCAGACGTACATGGACTTTGAGGTGTGTGTATGTGTATGTGTATGTGTTGTTGTATGTATGTTTATGTGTATGTGTATGTGTTGTATGTATGTGTATGTGTTGTGTGACTGTGATATACCCCGGTTAATGAGCTCTGGATGCCCTCAAGGGACTCGAGCAATCGGGCCGCAGCAAACGCTATAGAGTTCGCAGCACTCGCCGTGTGGTCCGTGGTTCTATCAGATGGCTCTGGAAGTAGCAGAAACAGTAAATGGCTTGGCCAACGATCAATGTAGCAGTTACAATGCACACGAGAGTGTGTATGTTTTATACAATTCACACGAGTGTGTATGTGATATACAATGCACACGAGAGTGTGTATGTGACATACAATGCACGCGAGAGTGTGTTTGTGACATGCAAGCACACGAGAGCGTGTATGTTTTATACAATGCACACGAGAGTGTGTATGTGACATACAATGCAAGCGAGAGTGTGTTTGTGACATGCAAGCACACGAGAGCGTGTATGTTTTATACAATGCACACGAGAGCGTGTATGTCACATACAATGCACACGAGAGCGTGTATGTCACATACAATGCACACGGTGACATATAATGCACACGAGAGTGTGTATTTTTTATACAATGCACACGACACACGAGAGTGTGTATTTTCTATACAATGCACACGACACACGAGAGTGTGTATGTGACATACGATGCACACGAGAGCGTGTATGTGACATACAATGCACACGAGTGTGTATGTTTTATACAATGCACACGAGAGTGTGTATTTTTCATACAATGCACACAACACACGAGAGTGTGTATGTGACATACGATGCACACGAGTGTGTATGTGAGATCCAATGCACACGAGTGTGTGTATGAGGGAAACAATGCACACGAGAGTGAGTATGTGCGTTTATATATACAAGGTAGAAGTATCATGTATGTACAGCGTGGTTATGTACGTAAGTATATTAGTTTAGTCGACCTCATCAGGCACCCGGCAGTATTTTCAATTCGGCAGATGTGCACATCGATTTGCCCGTTTAAAATAGCTCCTTATTGCATACCATTACATATCCGCACGATCTCAAACCGTCTGCTATACTATCTTGTCTACCTTTATAGTTGAATTTTATATAAATATTTATATAGCATGATCATATGGATGGTATTCTTTCCGGACATACATACATATATATATATATATATATATATTGTAATATATATATATATAGTATATTGTATATATATATATATATTGATACATATATACATTATATAATACATACATATATATATTTATATATATATATATATTGTGTGCATGTGTATACGGGTGGCAAATCCATACCATCAACCATTCTCTAACACTTGATCCCTTCATCATCCCGTTCCCAGGTTGTCATAGCCATCAACGGTGGAGATCAAGATAAGGAGTACGCCAAGGTCATAGGCGAGCATTTTGGTACAGCCTTCAAGCGACTTTCGGTGTTCAATTCGCCAGTAGTGAATATCGATGAACTGAGGAACTTTGTAGTGGAAAAGGCCCAGGGTGATTACGTACTGATGTTTGACGACGATGACGTACCCTACGCGGATATGGTATGTGCGGTGAATTCGGAACCGCGAGCAGTTTTGAGTTCTATTTATATCTCAATACGCACTCCGGCCAGAAGAGTATATATGTTATTGGTCGACTTGTCTATACTATTGTGATCTTATCCGAACACATTGAGTTCTATTTATATCCCAATACGCACTCGCATCAGTAGAGTGCTTATTCTTAGTCGACTTGTCTATACTAATGTGATCTTATCCTTACATGAGGCGGACTTGTCTATACTATTGTGATCTTATCCGTACATGAGGCGGGGTTCATGCCCCAAGCCGCGTGTCACCGAGTTCTATCTGTATCTCACACACAGCTCATATCAATAAACCCGTATTGTTCTAGCGTCTTGTCCGTCCAAATGCAGTCGAACCCGTTTTCCAGAGTCCATACTTAGAGCCGCGACCAATACGAGTTTTATTTATACCTCAGACACTACACACGCCAGTAGAGTACACATTCGTCCCACACCCTATATCCATACTAATATAACCCAACCCGTTTCGCAGGTGTTATATCCCTACCAATATACCCCAACCCTACTAATATAACCCAACCCGTTTCCCAGGTGCTAAATCCCTACTAATATAACCCAACCCGTTTCCCAGGTGGAATCCATGCTCAGAGCCGCGAGCAACACGGACGCCGATGTTATCGCGTGCCTCAGCGCGCACCACCGCTTCACACCCGCATCCACGCGTATAGCAACTGACGGGAGCCTCATGGATGGGGTGGCTGATAAGGGAGGTCCCCTATCCACGTGGCAGTACGATCACATTGCCTTGGCCGCGGGTAATGTGCCGAGTGTCGGGTTTACGCAGAATCTGTTTGGGCAGGCGGCCTTCTTTGCCAAGACGGCGAAGTTCCGCGAGATTGGTGGGATCACGATGGCGGGTGTCAAGTCCAACTTTGTGGGTAGGTATTATGTTTGCTGGGTCTTTGTGGGTAGGTATTATGTTTGTTGGGTCTTTTGTGGGTAGGTATTATGTTTGTTGGGTCTTTGTGGGTAGGTACTATATTTGTTGGGTCTTTGTGGGTAGGTATTGTGTTTGTTGGGTCTTTGTGAGTAGGTATTATGTTTATTGGGTCTTTGTGGTAGGTATTATGATTGTTGGGTCTTTGTGGGTAGGTATTATATTTATTGGGTCTAGAGCTGTATGATGGATGGTTTGGATGGGTCAAGTACTTTGTGCTATCCCTCTGGCGGGTTGGTTTTCAATCAGCTTCGCTTAGTTGGGGGCTTGGAGAGATTTTAATGTCAAAGAAGGTGCAGAAAAACAGAGTGCAGTGAAATACACAGACATGTCCGGAGTGACTAAGAGAACGTATTGTTTTGACCCATACGCACCGTGAACGAACGTGAAACGAGCCAAGCATACATACAAATCAGTACCTTTACCTGTGCGTATATATATACTGATCATCAGGTGTGTCCATAAAAAGATTTGCCACCTCGTGTACACTGGCCTCGTCTAGTCACAACTCATGTTCGTATTGCTACCGCCTCGTTGTACTCGCGCAGATTGGAGTTTCTGGCTGAAAGCGTCACTACGCGGTCTGCACATTGAGTTGGTACCAGAACCGTTGTACAAGTACAGACTCAAATCGAGGGACAGTCTCTACAACGACGATAGTGGGAGTGGGCATAGCCGGATACTGAAAGAGATGGAGTATCTGTATCGTGACGAGAGTCCCGAAGCTCGGGCGAAGTTATTAGATATGCTAGTGTTAGGTTACGCGGCACAGGCGGGTGTGTGAGTGACGTTGTTGCTTCATGCTCCCCGCGAAATCCCAGCAAGCCATTTAGGCCTGTACATACCATCTCCACACGTATACGCTGATATTTCTAATTAGCGATTTACATGATATCAATAGTCTTGGATTGGCTGCAGTTGTAACCGGCCGACAATGGCAGGGGTCTACGGTGCAGAATAATGCAATACTGCATGCCCGGTGTATGGTATCAGCTAAGCAGTTGGAAGGGTGTACATTGTTCAAAACGGTTAATCGAGCGGTGCCCAGTAGCAGGTGGCACGTACTTAGCTTATGCGCGCAGGCCGTTTTTTTTTTTACTATGAATCTGGTCGACGTTGAAAACAAATGTGTATATAGGGTCTGATATAAATATGAAACTGCAGATCAGACTATTCACTCCCAGATGTGGGGGATCGTAAAGCAAGGCAGCTGCACGAATACACACAAAAAAATTCAAATAATAAAGATACTGTTCAAAAGGTTTAAAACAGTGCGTATATATCCTCGCATACGGCTGAGACTGTGAATCTTTCTACCCATTCAAGGGGATTAAAACTCGGCTTCGTATGATTACATCATTCTCTGGATCATAGTGTTTTATCTGGGAAACTGAGACTGTGAATCTTTCTACCCATTCAAGGGGATTAAAACTCGGCTTCGTATGATTACATCATTCTCTGGATCATAGTGTTTTATCTGGGAAACCCGACCACGAGATTTTAAATATCGGTTGTGTACAAGTACAACGGCTCGTGTGGTGTGTACCACTTGTACAATATATGCATAACATAAATAACGTTAATCACGACAACTATTAAGTGCAAACGAAATACATACATACCGTTTATCACGACAACTACCAAAGTGCAAACGAATTGTACATGGCTTTCAATTTATTTTATAGTACTATATCGCTTAGCTGGCATTGAGCTGCTACATTACGTATATTTTTTTCCGTTTAGAATTAATAGCATAGGATATTGTCGCCGATATCAAAAGCCTATGCCGAGAAGTCCATTATTGGTGCGTATCATGAGATATAACCCCGTTAGACTCTCCGCTCCCCTCATATTTACTCCGCAAACTGTACCTTCTGGAGTCAGGATTGCAGCCTGTGGAGTATCCCGCACGGCTTCCCTTTTCTTTCATAGTAATAGTCAAATACGAATTTAGAACAAACTCTGCAACCGAGTATTCATTACTGCTGAGTCATTGTTCATTATGTGCTCATTGTATTCATCGGCATTCGCGGCCGACGTTGGATAGTTGCCCATAGACCCATTGAAAGACTTGTTTCCGGGATATGGTTGGTGTCGAAGCATTGAGCGCTGCTGATGCCCCGGATATAGTTGGCCCTCGCTGCCAGATCGTTTCATGGATTGCTGGTCGTAAATCCCGTGATTGTTGTTGTTCACGTTTTGGTAACCGTTTGGGCCTGTAAATCCGTTCGTATCCTGCCGCGAGAATTGATCTCTTTGCGAGAATGTGTTCCAGATATTCTCGTACTCTTGTGGCGCGCTGGAATTCCTCTGGAATGTCTCATTGTGCATGTTGTTAGATTGACCGTATTCACTCAAACTTTGCATCTGTGGACTAAACTGTGTCCCGCCTGTGTGCCCTCTCAATGTGTCGTGCAACTCATTCAAATTGTAAGGGTTTTGTCGAACACTTGATATATCTTTCACGCTGCCGGGACTCTGACGAGCACTTTTGCCCAAACTCTGCGTCCGTAGATTATGCGTCTGAGTTGTGCTCAAAGTCACTGTGCCACCAACGCCCTGATTGTCATAACTTTGCTGATTCCAGTCAGTGTTAGTATCGTAATCGTTGCCATTCTGTAGCCCAGTCGTAAGTATGTGGTTATTGTTCAATTGGTAGTTATTCATCTGATTGGCACTGACACTCATCTGGCTGTAGTTCATTTGATTGAAGTGCATCTGATTGGGTTTCGACTCTTTGGATCCCAGTTGGCACGGGTTCACTTGAAGAATTTGTGAAGCAATGGAATGATTTACTGGCATTGACGACCCATCATCATCGGAATCACCATTATAAGCTCTGCAACATGTGTGGAATTATACAGCGTAAGATATACGTCTCGTTGCAATTTTATGCTGCAACTCGGACACAAACATGTGCGCGACAACCGGTATACTTTGAAGATAATCAAAAGGCGGCTTGTGAGGGGACAAAACCTTAACACAGCATACCTTCTTATTCCGTTGCTATATTGATGTGCCATTTGGCCGTTTTGTGAATACTTCTGACTATGCATCGTTTCAGGGGGCACCTCATTATACTGTTTCCTATGCTGCTGCCCAAAAGAATAGAGGTCATTGACAGCCGCCAAACTCGCACGCCTCTGGAACATCTTTTCCGTTTGTAATTGAGAATTGCTATGAATATCAGATTGAGAGAGAGTTGTCCGGATACCGTTGTTATTCTTTTTAGCGCACACACTCATCAGCCCATACAAAATTACGGGTGCTTCGACTGCGGGCCATGGATCTATCGCTTTCAGACCGTAACGGTTTCGTCGGGAACCATCTTGTCGTCTGAATTTTTTCCACCTGAGGGCATCGCCGAATGCCTTTCGTAAGGCCTTACCTACAACTACAGAAGGACGGTGAGTGATGTAATTTTAGTATCAGAAATTCTAGTTAAGAAAGCAAAAGGAAAATTGTGAAACTGTACATCATGAATGACTTCGGGTCGTCGAAAGCAGTCTCCCCAAGATGATATCCCAAGAACGAAAATATCAATTTGGGACACATCTTACCTGCTTTAACTCTATCGGCAACGTCTGCGTTGTAGCCAGAATGTTCAAGCACTTCTTTGCAGTCCACCCATACTTCCTTGTTGTCATCGTCCAATATTTCAAAACATTGCTTGAATCTGTCAGAGAGAACCATCAGAATTGCACTATGCATAGTTCCAGATGCGCCAGGCGCTGCAGTGGTCATATTTGCGTTTTCGTGAAGATTTAAATCCTGAGTTTCTGCTGTAAAATAATTCCTGTCAACGGACAGTGCTTGAAAATAGTACAGAGTTCGCAACTCTGTACTGTATATTGCGTCAACGAAGCGATTAGTATCGACTGTTTTGCCTGTCACGTTGATATTATATTGCCTGGCACTGCAAGAACTTCAGTTAGTAGTGATAGTAGTGATTTTTATGAGACAAGCAGCTGATGATGGCTGTCTTTTGTAACCAATTCATTTATTTTGTTTTTACTGTCCTATCAATATATCAATACTGTACTCAAGTTGCTGACTTATTATGTTGCCAAATATACCCTACGGCCAAATCAACTATGTGCAAAAATTATTTTTCATTCGAAGAAAAATAACTTTGTTGCATTTTGAAAAACAATATACAAACATACATACCTTTTTTCAAAACAATATATGTTTTTTATTTCAGTGTGTCTTATTATAAATATCGACTAATATGAATACGATTTTTTTATTTTGTTGACTAAAAAAGTATGTATGTATGTAGGAATCGATTTTTTTTTGTATTTCATATAACAAAACAAGTATTTGTTGTCATTTTTAATTTTTATGTCAAATGTCAGGCAGTTGATAAATATCTTGATATATGCCTGAATCCTGATTGTCAATTCTTTTTATTGTTTTTCTTAGGAGAACTAATTTCTCTTAAATATTTGTATATTTCATTGGAAAAACCAATTTTTAAATTCTTGTTTTTTTTAAAAACAAGAGACAAAACAAATAGGTTTTTATTTTGTTATGTTTTTACAAATGAAGGTAAATACATACATACACTCATTCAGTATATAGATATAAATACATATTATACATCCATATTACAATTTTTTTTCTTCATAGCCTTCTTGTATACATAATTCAGAAGGCTATGGTTTTATTCTGTGCAAAAACTGTCGGGGGTTTGTTTTTTTTATTTTTAAAAACAAATAAATGAATTCCTAGCCTTCAGAGTTCAGAGTTCAGCTTCAGTTCAGGTTTCAGACGGCTTATCAGTAAAGTTCAGTCCTTCGAAGTTTTCCAACAAGAGAAGAGTCAACAAGAGAGACTGATCTCTGTCCTCTGAAGTTCTGAAACTGATGTAAATATATTGTTTTTGTGTAGGGCTGTACATAGGCTGATAAATTTGGCTAAAAATACAAAAAATACAAATATCAATATCAGTATATTTAGTTCTTTGAGAGCCAGTCTCAAAAAGAGCGGAGTAAGATAATTATGTTCTAGAAGGTTCTATGCTAAAGCCTCTCGACTTCAAAATTTCCAAGAAATCTTTTTAACCAAGTCCTTCTGGACTTTGTTCATATTTTTCAAAAACAAACAACAAATCCCAAAATGTTAAAGGCGGTTCGGATGTGCTTCCGTGATTTAGGGTATATTATGATAATATTGACCTGACCCTGCTCAGGATCACCTCGGAAACTGAAATACTCCTCAAGCTACTTTATTATGAAGTATATACTAATAAGTAATAACTAAATACGTTTATTAAGTGTTGGATAATCTACAGTGATTGGTAGGCAAGCGGCGCCAAAAGGAAAGTGTCCAATAAGCACCGGGAACCAAAACCAAAGATGTACTGTAATAAAAGTCTTATTGCGGGTTGTATGATGTTTAAAATAGACTCTATTTAGAGCCCCGAGACTGATTTGAGCTGGCGCAGGGCCCAGAAACGTATATATGTACTACAAATTAAGTCCAAAATGGGTCTCAAGTGGAAAAATACAGGGGGGGTGGGGGGCGGAGGGCGGAAGGGGGGTAGGGCTCTTTAAACTCGGAAGCACATCCGAACCGCCTAAATTAGACAACACATTATATTTTTTTAGCCTTCTAAATTGAATATTCGGAAAGGACATATCGACGACCAACACAAACTACAGTATTTATTGATTTTCTATGTCCTCGAGAGACTTCGAGTCTTCGACTCTTCGTGGAGCAAAAATACATTTAATATTCTAAAAAACAAAATATTGGAGAAAATACTTGAAAACAGTCAAAAAAAAAATCAAAAATAGCTTCCAATATTTTGGTTTTTTTAAAAACAAGCTGCACAACACACTTTTAAAAGAACCGGGGTCTTGAGGAGACCCTACTTCATCATTCCTGACAAATGTGATCTGGACAGTTGTTTAATAGCACCATTATTTCGCAGTTGACCTGGCAGATTTTGGACGAATTTTGCAATATGCGCAAAATGGACTTTTTTGATTCATATAGTGGTGTTACTGTACTCTGAGAGTCTCAAACTCATCGGATTTGAACTCCCCATTTCAAGAACCGTACGAACATTTGTCTTCAGTTACTGTGTCGTCTTATGGCTAAAATGCCAATGCCCAATTGTGTATTTAAAGTACTCAACGTTTTGAACTCGTTTCCCCGGAAGTTTGGAACATACCTGATGCAGTCGAAACAAGAAAGTAAACATATGACTTTAAATTTATTTTTATAAAGTGATAAATAACC